ATGTCTTCTAATCTTGAGAAAAATGAAGGTGCCCCATTTTCAAAGAAGAAGAAAAAATCTAAAGTTCGAGATGATTTTCAATTGATTGAAGCACATTTGAATGATGATGGTCTGGAAAGAGGTAAATGTAAACATTATGGTACTACCTACATTTGTGAAGGAAAGTATGGAACTTCTAATATGAAAAGGCATCTGTCAAAATGTTTTGCACATTTGAATAGAAATCCTGTGCAAATGATGTTAAGTAACTCTGGAAAATTGGTTAGAAAAATTGATCCAGAAACTTTTAAGGAGTTGTGTGCACTGGTAGTAATAGAGCATTCGTATCCTTTTTCATGGGTTGAGCATAAGGTTATTAGATCATTAATGAAGTACCTAAATGAGGATGTGAAGCCAATTTGTAGAAATAATGTGAAAAATTGTTGCTTGAAAATTCATCAAAGGGAGAGAGATAGCATTAAGCAGTTGCTGAAAAAAGTTTCAAGAAGAATATGTTTAACATGTGACATGTGGACTTCTGCATTTACTCAAGGTTACCTTTGTTTGATTGCTCACTTTCTTGCTGATGAATGGAATTTACATAGCTTGATTTTGAATTTTCTCCATGTCCCACCTCTGCACACAGCTAGAATGTTGTTTAAACAAGTGTATGAGCTGCTAAAGGAGTGGGGCATTGAAAGTAAAATATTTTCAATCACTTTAGACAATTTTAGGTGTAATGATAACATGCAAGAAGCTTTGCGTAATCAGCTCAATCTTGAAAGGCCATTGTTGTCTAGTGAAGATTGTTTTCATATTCGATGTTCTGCTCATATTTTGAATTTAATTGTGCAAGAAGGATTGAAAGTGATTGATGATAGTGTTAGAAAATTGAGGGATGGGATAAAGTATATAATTGCCACTAAGGGAAGGATGTTAAATTTTGAAGAATGTGCTAAACGAGCTAGTTGTGATTTAAGCAAGGGATTATGGTTAGATTGTCCTACTAGGTGGAATTCCACACATAAAATGCCTAAGAGGGCAGTGATCTATAAAGATGTTTTTGCTTCTTTTGAATTGGATGATGAAAATTTTAAATGGACCTTGGATGAAGAAGAATGGAAGCGAGTTGGTAAAATTTGTGAACTTTTACAACCTGTTAGTGAAATTAGAACTTTGTTTTCTAGATCAAAATATCCAACATCAAATTTATACTTTAAGCATGTTTGGAAGATTAAGTTATGCTTGTTGGAGAATATCAAGTGTGGGGATATCTATATCAAAGACATGGCAACCAACGTGAAGGCTAAATCTGAGAAGTACTAGGATTCTTATAGCCTTATTCTTGCTTTTGCCATAATTTTGGATCCTCGTTGTAAGTTATCTTTCGTGACATATTGTTACAAGATACTAAATGAGGAAACATACACTACTAAGGTCAATCATGTTATTGATAGATTGTATCAACTTTACAATGAATATGTAATGGAGGGCAGCAAGTTGGAAAGTGCAAATAATGTCACAATGCCTACAACTACTATGACTGAAGTTGTTGGTAATAAAGATCAATTAATGGAGGTAATAATTGTTTTGTTTCTAAACTTTCTTCAATTTTCTCAAACTATTTTAACTTAATTCATTTTACTCTAATTAATTTGTTTCTTCTTACCTTTATGTAAGGTTTTGAAAATTTTGATATGGAAAAAGTGCACACCTTGCAATTACGTCAATACTTGGAGGAAGGTAGGCAACCACACCGAATCTTTAGATATCCTTGAGTTTTGGAAACAAAATGAAAAGTGTCTTCCAGACTTGGCTAGAATGGCAAGAGACATTCTCTCTATCCCAATTACAACTGTAGCTAGTGAATTTGCTTTTAGCATGGGTGGGCATGTCTTGACAAAATTAAGAGGTTCTCTTTTACCAGAAAATGCAAAGGCCTTGATAACAACCCACACTTGGTTGAATGGATTTCAAAAGGAAGGTAACATGAAGGTTTTTAATATTTAAATTTTACTATTTTTGTCTTAGTATTTGCCATATATCTCATTGATTATGTGATTTGAATATGTCATTTTTCAATTGATTGGCTGCAATTGAAGTCTTCAATTCTTGAATTTTTTTTGTTTGGTATTTCTAGAAAAGAAAGATATATCCTCCTTAATCTTTTCACCTCTATAGAATATTGTTGGCATGCACATGGGATTGGTATAAAGAAAAGACAAAAGTAGAATGAATTAAGTTGAAGTAGTGGTTAATCATGATTCATGAATATCTATATAGTTTTATATGGTTTTCAATTAAATTAAAATAGTAGCTAATCTGCCTTCTTTTTTTCTTTTCTTTTCTTTTTTTTTATGGATGAACCTTATTTTGGGATATGCTTTTAAAATTGTTTTGAGTGTTTGTTCATCATGAATTAGATGACAACACTGATATTGGTCATGTTGAAGATGAGGTGCTGGGATATGAATATCAATTTAGTGAAAGTTCTATTGTTGCTAATAACTAGTGAGCTTGGAATGGAAATATTATCTTAATGAGAAGTTTTAACACTTGGATTAGAGATTATGTGGTTTCAAACTAGTGACTTCAAAGTTTAAACTTTATATTTTATGAAATTTTAATAATTTTAGTTTGGTACTGTTATTTTTTTTTTTCTTGAATGACAATTTGGTATTGTTAGATAAGGTATTATTATGACTTGTGATATTATGACTTATTTGACTTATGATTTTGTTTTAATTTGAAGACTTATGATGTTAGGATTTATGATATTATGCTTTATGATATTGCTGTAATTTGAATGTTGTGTTAAATTTGATAACAAGATGCAATACTTGGGCGATAAACAGGGGTGCCTAAATTTTTGGATGGACAAAGCAACCTGGGTTTGACAAGTGAGAAGTTTTTGAGGATCAGAACAGTGATATATGTAGAAACTGCAAAAGAAGACAGAAATCCGTCATGGGTATGGTGTCAACACAATTTTGGTATCAACACCATAAGGTAAGATCCAAAACTCTGACACGAATGTGGTGTTGATACATAATTCAGGGGTTGATACCATATGTAAACATCCAAAACTCCGACACGGATGTGGTGTTGACACATAATTTAGGGGTCGACACCATTCCACTAATGTAATATGATGCCTCTCAAGTTATGATGTTTATGGGTTTGGG